TCTCTCTTGTTGTTGAAAGATGGATCCGAGTGGGACAGTCTCTCATAAAAATCAGAAAAACTCCCAAAGAACAACAGGTATCATATTAGAAAGAAACCTATGGTTTGTTTGATAGCAAAAGGGGAAAAAATGGTTGTGGATAACTAAAAGAGATGTGTTATCTCTAAAGCCAAAGGTAGAAATTTGGGCCACTGATGACATTGCCTTGAATCAGAGCATCTCCCTGGCTGAGAAGAGCAGAGACAACAGACAGCCCTTGAATGGGAACAGGAGGATGACACACAGCTTAATGACTGCAACACAGGGCTGTAGGTCGTCCAGTTGTCTTTTGCTTAGAGAAGACTGAAGTCAATCCTTTCAATAACAAGCATTAAGTCATCAGTCTTGGAGACTGTGATGTGTCTGAGAAGTCCTAGAGTTCATATATGGTGGTATATGGTTACCTTACAGTTAGAGGTATCTACCTAATAAATAAGGAAAAAAAAATATGCTTACAGCAGTTATAAAGACCTTGAAGGAAATATTTAACAATCAGGAAGGCAGTCCTCAAATCATTTTAGATACCTCTCTGCAAACATCAACTCAATGCTCAGCCGTGGCTGAAATGGTTAATAGCATGTTAGTAACGAATAGGAAAGGAAATGGTCACTGAATGGAAAAGCCCTGTGCTTGCAGGATGTTAATAGATCTCCCTGATAAGTTCTGGGCAGGAGGGGAAATTGTAGGCTGCAAGTCTAAACTGCTGCATGCTGTTATGCTGTTTTACTTAATGCACTTAGCTGAGAGCACACTCTACCATTCTAATTCAGCAGCACAGTCTTGGGAGTAAAGATTTGCCTTATCAAACTCAGTTCACTGACAGCCTCGGACATAAAGACTGCCTACAAATATCAGCAAAGTAATAAAAAAAAATCAAAAGAGAGGAGTCATTTGGGTCAAATCTCGCATAACTGAATTAGCAGAATGGGAGTCAGCTGTGGAAAATGTAAGATGAATATTTTGCATTTCAGCGCCACTAAAACAGCAGAGAAGGTGTTCAAAAGAGAAATATCAAGAAATATGCCTTGATATAGAGATGATGAAGATTTTTTTCTATCATGTAGGTAGATGGTAGGAGCTCTGAGTCTGGTTCTCAATCTGTTATGACAGTTTGCATCACTGTTGCTCCATTTACTCCAGATTTACGCTTCAGTTAGCCTAGACAAGCATGAGGATTCCCAAAGTCCTATCTGTGTTACTAAATGTTCTCAGCATTTCAGCATTCACCCATGTGTGTCTGGTGCATATCCTGTGGTTCTGTGGGCTGGGATGCTTTAGTGTTATTTCCCATCGAGTCATTTCATTATTTATCTGTCCCTGGAGGAGGATTTGTGGAAATGGCATTGGAGAACTGTCAGCACTTATATGTTCTTGTTTGCATCCTCTTGGCAAAGTGAGTTCCAGATCAAGCAAATCACAGGCTCAAACTTGAATTCATATTCCAGGTAAGCATATTTACAAAGCGCAAAGACTGCACACTTCTGGGTTTTATGTGCATTTGGAGGGTGGGAAGAAGAAAAGGATTCTTGTTTAAGAGCACAGCGCAAAACTGTGATGTGACCTTCCCTGGGTAAAATCAGCAGATAACGTGTGTTTCCTGTGAACATCACTAAAGTAAGGGTTAAGAAAATGGATTTTTCTTCTCCTGATTCGTTTTGTTTTGCATCTCATTCTGGCTTCTGAAAGTCCAGAAGAAACCTTGGGAATTTTAAAACAATCTAATTAGTCTGGCAAAAGGGTAGGAGAGTCTCATGTGGTGATAGGTACTGAAATAGAAAGGCTAGATGAACAAGTAAATCCTTTTTGTATTTCACCTTGTGGCAAGAACACTTAGTAGAAGCAGAGAGATTTGTGATCCATGTTTCATTCTCCCCTTGACCTATCCTATAACTTTGGCCAGATGCCTCTGTGGACATTGCCTTACTCATCTTTTGTCTCCCTTGCCTCAGTGCTTCAGGGATGCTCTGACTCATGGCATGTTTAGCTCTTACCACAATGGCTATGCTGGAGTTTGGGGAACTGGTCTCTCACATCCTTCAACCCCAAACTCCCTAAATATCCTCACCACACAGAATACATCTCTTGAACTGAAAACTGATGACACAGGTAAAGCAAAAGACATTTTGCATATGCTGCAGTATTGGCATTTATCAGGAAATATACTTGGTAACGAGAGTGAACAAAGGCTGACTTTCATAATGGTTGTGAAGCAAAACAAAAATTGGAAATTTCCTCCTGAGTACTGTCTGAAACAAAATATTTCTTAACGTTCAGGTATTTATGAAATGACTTATTAGCTTATGTATTTGTGAAGGAATATAGCATATCTGTAGTCTCCTAAAGATTTGTAACATCTAGATGTAGTATTAAAAAGAGAAAAGGCAGCAAAGTTGAAGGGTAAGCATGTTGCAATATAGCACTGGTTGTGTCAGAGTGGAGCTGAGTGATTTTCAAGGGGAGATAACTGGACTCTGGGACAGGGAGACATTTCAGAGAAGACTTTATGTGGAAAATGGAGTAACTGATGGAAAACATGTCTTCCACACGTGGAAGTGATGCCTTGTGATCTGTGGTGAGAAGATGCAGATGAGTTGGATTCTGTTTCTGTGCTGGTGATCCTGAGTAAAGCAGCTAAGCCTCTCTAGACCTGTTTGTCCAGAAAACTTTGTAAAAAATACTGTTAATAAAGCAAAAGCAGGAGTCAAAATGTCACACAAACTATAAACACACAGGGAAAGACTGAGACACCCAACTCTGGCATCTCAATATCTGACAAAATAGATACCTGAGAGCAGCAGTGCAAACCAGGGTGGGATTCAGCTTTACATTCAGGCCACAGTATCCAGTGCTCCATATGCTACTGACTGAATTGCAGCTGAATACAACAAAAACTCAGGCTGCCAGGCTCAGCTGTAGGCTTTTCCAGCCAGACAACAAGTGTGAAAGCCTGAATCTGGCCTGACACTTCTCCCAGGTCATAGTCACTCCTCAGTTACTAGAGGGAGATAGCTCTGATCTGTGACCCAGAGGTCAGCTAAGTGGGGATCACCAAGAGCTATTCCAGGAAGAAAACAGATGCAGCGTGTCTCCCTGACGTTTTACTCTGCCGGCATTGGCTTTGTGACTTGCTCCTCTCCACTCAGGATGTCCCTCTTGGCAGGGAATCCAGGGTGCCTTCCCACTTTGAGTTTGTGGCAAGCTCTCCCAAGAGACAGTTGTGCTCCCTTTCAGGCAGTGGAAGACCCCAAACTGCACCAGAGAGAAGCTGGTGATGTGCACTTTTGATTTCTGTGGTACAACTTCTCCTCCCGATGAATTAACTTAATGTCAATACTAACAACAGTCAGTCAGTTGGTGTTAGGAGCCTGATCTATCCAGCATTGCCGTCAGCATGTTATATATCATGTAATCTGTCTTGGCTCAGAACAATCAATATATTGCTCCTGAATTTGCTTAAAACTGATGGAGTTGAACCAGTCATAGCAGGACTGGAAAACACTTGTAAAACTTCCCCTTAAGGTACACAAACGTTAGATACCCTCCCCACTCTTCCTCTTCATGGAAAGCAATGAAGATAATGGCTGGATTCCTGTCTCACAGGTGTTTAATGAGGTCAATGGCTCCTTTATAACCATTTTGAGATCTTTGAATGGAAAATGGTACTGCAGACCTAGGCATTGCATTATTATCCTTTCTGATCCTTTTTGAAAGGGGAACATACCCTTCAGAGTGTTCTGTTTTGCAACTGCATTGTTATGGTTGTTGGTGTATAAAATTGGTGCTCGGTGTGTATAATTTATAGCCTCTAAAAATGATAAATAGCCTGAGAAAGAGGAGGGATTTGTGTGTTCCAGTACTAGAAGTTTCAAGATGAAAGGATATTTTTGGGAAATGGTCTATAACTTCCCACAAACTATAATTTAACCTGCTTCTTAGCAGTGCTGTTTCTACTTACACTGATGGAATTTAATTTTGGAGGCATCCTAGCTGTGATCTTGCTGGTGAGCTCTGTTCAGGCCTTCTGCAGTCAGTGGATGATCTCAAACATCCTTCAGAAAAATCCTAAGAAACTCTTAGGGTTTAGATGTCATCGACATTACTGGTATCACCAAGATCTATTTTATAGGGTGAACTATAAATTAGTATATTTAACATGGAAAAGGAGATAAAAAATACACCTGTTAGAGGAATATGGATGTGGAACTTGCCTCCTCTTAGAGTCAACTGGACTCAACAAGGTTTTCAACAGTGTTCCATACATTTATGTGTGTGACTAAATTATAAACTTTCCTGAAAAAAACCCAAACAGGGAGCTGGACTGGATTCTTTCCAGGCTAGATTTCTGATTTGATTAATCTACATTGGTTACTGTCCCTTACATTTAAGTTTAATGGGTTGAGTGTGTTATGTTGTACTTATTAAAAACTGGAGCTACCCAACTAATTATTAACAATTTAATATACTTGGCAATTGTTGAGGAACAGTGTGAAAAAATGTGTTATGTCATGAATCGGATTAGCTTTACTAGGTACTCTAAGAGGTATTTCAGATTAAAGAGGGAGGAAGGTAAGGCAAGGCAAGGCAAAGCAAGGCAAAGATTTAACTAGAAACTGTCATCAGTAACGAGTAAACATGCCATGGGTTTTGTTTCTTTTATTTTGGAAATGTCTTCAAATTCCTATGCACCTCTGTTGCTATTACTGTAACTAAAACATTATCTTAAGATTTTAGATTTCATCGATATTGATCTCATAAAATGCTGAGCATGTCTGTGACGTTAATGAAAGCTGAGACTATTCAGCAGCTCACAAGTTCAGGCCCAAAATGGTTGCATTTGGTTATATAAAATGCATCAACCTCCTAACCTCATTCTACAGAAGTTTCACATTGTTACGGAATCAGCTTAAATGGTTTGTCTTAATGGAGCTCTTGAGTAGTGGTTACCAGAAGCTCTTTCACAGGTCAGCAAAACACTGTTATGTTGATGGCCCCTGCTGACAGAGACTAGCAAGAAACAAGTCTTCATAGAAGATGAAATGCATATTTCATTGGAGGAAGTGGAAGTGTTGCTCTGTATTTCAACTTGCTCAGACCTACAGTGCAACATTTAACCTCATGGTAAGCCTGTTCTTCCCTCTGTAAAAGCTTGAAGTATTCACAGAAAAAGCACTTGTTTTGTCATGAAAATGGGATGAATATATGAATCCAAAAGAATACAGTTTAGAAAACTTCCAAACTTACCAGCATCATTATTTGCAGAATTCAGACAATGCCGCGTGTAAGAAAAAATGTGTAAGAGCAGCTGCATCTGCTTGTCAGCTACAATTGGTATAAACAGAGATTCCTACATTATCCTGTTAGACCTCCTACATCCAAATAATGTATAAAACCAACTGCTGATGTCAAAACCTGTTAGGATTTTTTGGTGAAGAGTTATGCTTCATCTAAACTAAGACTTTTGCAGGAACCTAACAGGTTTATATGGCCAGGGAATTAAGGGAGGAGAATGAGCAGATGTTGCTGGTCTGTAGGGTCTGTGGATAGAAGGGGATTGCATGATATCCCTCCTCCAGGAGACATACAAGTGCTGATGGAGGTGAGGACAGGTTTCTCCATGAGACTTTACAGCTCCTCAGGGTAACTACTTTCCATCTCACGGACACCTCGGGGCATAGACAGCTTCCAGCACCCTTCCAAAATGACAAACTGTATCCAAAGGCCGTGAAAACTAATCTGTTACCTCAGCCCTTTGATAGTGTCCAGAGAAGTCTGGGCTCTGTTTACAGAGGCATAGAGAAATTTGGCCTTGCAGGCAGAGATTTAAATAAACCAAACTCCTACAATGCCAAATGAAAGCAAAGGTGGATAAGGGACCATCAAGATTTACTCAACTGGTCAGGAGCAAAACCCAGCCCCCAGGCTGCAGAGCAATGTTATGAACTCCAGACAGAGGTACCCCAGGGAGAAGGATCCTATAGTCATCTCCACAGAGTCATTTAGGTGCCAAAAGTCATTTGAAGCCCACAGAAGTCAATAGTTAACGAGATGCCTGGCCCAGAGGCGGGTGTCTGCATGTCTTGGAAGGTTTAGCTCTCAGAGTTAATTCCAATTTCTTTCCCCTGGGTGCTTTGAATCATCTGAGACAATCTTGGGTGTTTAAGAGATCCACATCACCCTGTCAGAAATCGTCTAGGATTTATGGGGACCTGTAGTTTTTTGGAATGACAGTGAGTGACCACGGGCATGTCCTGGAGCATTTCTAATGAACTCAGATTTCTACATAGGCAAGTGAGTTTTTTTAAAAATGAGTGCCTTTGCTTTGCTCTCCACTCTGCCATTAATAAAGTATAATGAATGTGTTTTGTTGCTTTAGCAAGGACTGTGTTTTAAATATCACTCTCCTCTCCATTTTTTTTTTATGTGTGTGTTTTGTTTTGTTTTTTTTTCTCTCTAATCCCCTGGAGGTCTGAAAGGTAAAATAAAGCTTTCCTGTTCAATTGCTTGGTACAATATTTGCTTGCAAACACAGGGCGTGGTTCAGGGTGTGATTCTTTTCTCTCTGGCCACAAAATTACTCACGCCAGTATACAAGCTCCAACTCAGCTGTTCACATTATTGTCTACCAATATATATGTATATATATAAAATTAAAAAAAAAACCAGAACAAAACAAAAAATATCCTCTTTCTGGTGTTTTTTCCATTTATTACTCGGTCTCTTCCTCCTTTGTGAGAATCATTAAACAACAGTAACTCTTTTGTTCTTAAAGTTTAGGTGACCATCAGTAGAGCAATAAAAGGGAACTTTCATAAAATGCCTGTATTCAGAAACTTGAAGGGAAGAGGGAATTAATTGTCTTATGCCACTGACCCATTTATATTAATGGTTGGATATACCTAACAACAAAAAGTCAACAAAATCTCAGGAAACAAAAAGGGGTAAAAAACCAATTTGTTCCTCATTAAGGTGCTGGAAAAGTCCAAGATAAACCTGTTTAAAATTGATCTGATAAGCTGGGGAGCTCTGATTCACTGATGTGTTTTTCTCTGCTAATGGTCCTTTGCTAATATTTATCCATTGCTTTGAGTAACTATTAATCTCCTAAGTTGAGAAACTCTACAAATGCAATTTCTAGAGCATTTAACCTTTCATGTTTGCTGCCTCCAGAGTTTGGGTTGACTTGGATACCAAGCACTACATTTTACTTAGTTTCTATGAGCTCTAAATTGCTAAAATATTGGCACAAAGACTACTTAAAACTAGATTTTCTTTTTTTTCTCCTGCACAAAAATATGATAGTTTTCCCAAAGTGTAATGAAGTTGAATTCACTTCTGCTTTCCCACTTACTCACTTCTGTCCATCACTGAAGCTCCTTCAATTGCTATTTGCTTGCAAGTGTCATTTTTTTCTTCCATAATTTGATATCAGAAATGGCCAGAGAGGTAACAGCTCAGCAGCATGAATGTTCTTCTAATGATCTCTTGGAGAAAAAGAAAAAAAAAAAAAAAGTATCTGTCTACCAGCCTAATAATTCTAATATCTGGCAATAAATCTTGATTTTCAAAAAAATGAAAAATTTCCATAAACTTCCTCATATATGCAGCCACTCAAGTTTATCTTTTCACATAGGAACTTTTGATCCTTCTCTTTTTCTCTTCTTCTGTCTTTTTCCCCCCCTTTTTCTTTTTTTTCTTTTCTTTTTTTTTTTTTTTCCTTTCCCCTATCCTATTCTGGCCATGACAACTAAAGGCTTTTGAAAAAAATGGCCAGGGCTCTGAACAAAGCCTGTTGTTGCAGGTAATTGTTGAAATATCAAGGGTATTCCGTCCTCCATTACTTAAGCTTTCATTTGTGGCTTTCATGGTTTTGAGGAATGTTTATGGCTGACAATCCTTTCTTTACGGCTCTATCCTTCAAGCTCTGGCTGATACCGCTGAGAATGACCGCATGAGTGACTGATAAAATGTCAAGATGCCATTGTTTCCAGGAGAGTGTTTGGGAGCAATAAGATCCGTTTCAATTTATCTCATCCACCTGACTCTAAGGCTCCAGGTTTTACTTCTCGGACTGCTACAAGGGATAGCAAAACAAAACTCCCCCCCCCCCCCCCCCCACTTCTGCAGCCAACACGAAACTTTTAAGTGCTCCGATGTGACATTCTGCAGATGGGTTGTAACAGCAGCAGTGCTGTGACGTTTGAGGCATATTTCACAAAGCACGTCAGTACAATATTTGGGACTTAATTAATAATCTCCGTGAAAGCTGGTTTATGGATCATAATAACCATATTTTTAAACTTGTGAAATGCAGCAACAAAAAAATCTAATTCGCGAGGCAGATGGTGGAGCGGGGTCTGTGGAGCAACAGAATGGGAGGGCTTTACTGTGAGTTTCAGAGAGTCTTCTGCTAGGATTCAGTCCTTGCCAAGACTGTGCCACTTCTCAAATGGTCTTTGATGGTTGCCAGACTAGTGATAAATCTGGGTGAAGAGGAGGCAGCAAGACAAACTGCCAAGTGAAGTAAATAAAAAATATGAATTAATATTTTGCATAGATGGTTTTTGCAGTGCAATTACTCTAAAGACATTACATTCAAATTGAATAGCATTGATGTAATTCAACTGTAAAGTTTAAGTGGCAGTTTTCTAGGATGTGGATTGGAGTTTACACAGGGACTAGGACAATTTGGGTCTTCTTCCTGTCTGGTACTTTTGCGAAGAACTGTCCCAATCATGATAGTGTTAATAACAGCAGCAAAAAAACCCACCTGTTTAATGTGATCATTTTACTTTAACAAGTTTTAAGGCTCCAATCCTATAGAATCATAGAATAGTTTGGGTTGGAAGGCACCTTTACAGGTCATCTAGTCCAGCCCTTCTGCAGTGAGCAGAGACATCTTCAACTAGATCTGGTTGCTCAGAGCCCTGTTCAGCCTAATCTTGAATGTTTAAAGGAATGGGGCATCCACTACCTTTTTAAGGTTTCAGTGTTTTTTGCCATTCCTGTAAGTCATGAGGCAGTTCTTGATCCTTCCCCTGAGAAGGCAATGACCAGCTGAGCTGAGCCACCTCTTGTGGCTGAGGATGGTCCTGGAGTGCTGATGGGTGCTTAGATTTGCCCTTTGTGGGGCAGAAAGGTGTTTCCACTGTGAAGGGAAAACTGCTGCTCTGACTCAACTTTTCCAGAGACACTTCATATACATCCTGTCCAATGTGCAAGCCACTCATATGCTAAAGTGATTAATCTGAGCTACAAGGATGTAATTAACTGTCATTTAACTAACAACTGCAGTTAAACTAGCATTTAAATTTGCTGAGGCATAGATTTGATAAAAGGTCCTGAGGTGTGGCAGAACTGCTGAGGCTGACAAAAGGTTGGTCCCAGTCAGGTTTAAATTAACCAATTTGGTTTTAAAATCTCAGTCTGGTTTAGAAAAACCTTATTGTACCTAGACTTCTTGGAAGGCTGTGTTTCAGACCAGCTTCTGATTCAGACCATTTTATTACAAAGTTTAAAAATTGAGCTGAAGTTTGAGTGCTGGGTATATTTTCCAGGAAATTTTAAAAAAGACATGTTTTCCTGACATTGTGGAAGACTCATGAAGTAACTTCGACTTTTCTCTTTTGCCAGAGAGCATTATTGTCTTTACCAGGTCTGAATTTCATCTGCTGTGATCGCTGAGGCTGCTTAGTGTCCCTGAAGACTCTCCCAGACTTTCTGAATCTTAACTTCCTACTGTGTAAAGTAAAACTTCTGTGAGAATGAGTAACAGTTCAGGCAAGTTCAACCTTGCTGTAATTCTCAAAAGATTGTTCTTCCTGTGTTAAGCTTAGGTACTCCAAAAGTGTTTTTATTTCACCCTGTTTAGAACTCTAAAATATGAGTTTGAGGCTCAGCAGAATATATGATGATCAAGTTCAGATTTACTAGATACCATTTTAACCTTCCAGTAACATCATGAACAGCAAGTAGAAAACCTATCAATATTCTTGGACAATCTGCTCATAGATTTCTTGTCTGATTTTGCAAACTGAAGCAACTGATTGCACATTCAACCAGAAGACTCCTCTCAACCTAAAATGGAGTCCTCATGGTTATTGCTCCTAATTGCATCAGGTAGTCTCCTCCAACACCAGGGGTTCACCTGCTTTAGCAGACAGGTCAGATGAAAGCTGAGAGAAAGCTCTGCTTTGTGAAACTGGTCACAAAGCAGATTAATGGCAGAAACAAAGTTCCTGACTTCCACTCCTATAATTTGGCCACTGGAGCATTGCTTATCTTCCAAGACCAAAAGCCTGTGCTTATGGTAACTCCTATGTTAGTGATACAAAGGCTTCACTTGGGCTTGACCTATACTGGGGTTAATAATGGAAACAAAGGTATAGATTAATCAGAAAAATGAAGCTTCAGTGTCTAAGGATCATCTGTGGCTGGTGCTGGGTTTGACTCTGCCCTGTATGCCCATTCAAGTCATCCTGGTTAGTTAGGATGGCAGAATCAGGTCCAGAAACATTTAGCCTTTTGCCAGACACTAACTTACTTCCTGGGCATGTGCCATCTCTCTAACCAGATGCACTTTAAAATTGAGCAGTCCCTTATACTACAAAAAAAGGAGGTTTTTTCTTTTCTTATGTGAATAAAAAAAAAATAATTGAAAACCACTTACCTGGTCAACATTATTTCATAGGGTGCTGAAGTATAAATCAGACACAGTGCGACCTTCATAGAAATTTCAGATTTATTTACAGTGGTTTGCACTGATCGCTTTATCTACAAGGAGCTCAGTTTCCCCTTGGTGACTCATAAGTAATGTGGTCCACGCAAACCCGTGTAAATAGATCCAATATTTCAAGGAAGGTCATGCTATATACTCTCTTTGTTTCTCAAGAATAGATGATGGCTTACTGCAGGGCTGATACGACATTTATCTTCGTGAGTGAGGAGGTTGATTGTGTGGCCCAAAGGGCACTAGTCATGGCTGGTGGGCACCCAACGGGAATGAAACACACCCCATAAAACTCTCTCTATTTTTGTGTCTATGTGATGAAAGCTCCTTACTCTCCAGATAGTCTGCAGAACACACTAAACAGTAAAGAACAGTTTTCTTTCAACAGGAGCAAGAAACAGGAAATAAATCCTTATGCTTCCAGGATTGAGAAGACCTTAACCAGCTGTGGGAAAGTAGGAAAGTTCCCTCGTGAGAGAAATGTCTTGAACCTTCCTCTGGTGCCTCCTTGTTTCCTGCCAGGTGGCATACTGAATCAGATTGACCACAGGCTTCATGCAGTCAAGCACTGCCTGCATCCACTTTCTTCTGCAGACAAATTCAGATCTCCAGGTTGGGTATATCACCTGGAAAAGTCCAAATCCACTAAATGGAGACAGTGGTGTGCTCCTGGGCTTTTGTTTCAAAGCCCCCCTTTCTCAAATAGCAAAGCTTCATGAGACATAACTTACCACAACACAGCACCAACTGTGCTGGAGAGTTTGCAGCTCAGTGTCACAACACCCCCTGGCTAAGAACATGGCCCAGACCATGATTATCTCAAGGAATATGTTCTAATAAGGTGATGAACACAAGAACCTGCTCTCTTCCTCTGCTGTGTTTTTGCATGAACATGACAGTGTCAG